GGGTAAGAATCTAATCAAAGGGTTTGTATCTGAAAATAAAATAACAGAAATGTCAGCTATAAAACTATTTTTTTTAAAACCTGATTAAAAGTTTAGTCAAAAATGAAAATAAAACATTTCTATATACGCTGATGATGCATTGTAATTAACTGATGGTACATTTTAAATGCTCTAATTCAAAAGATTTGCTTTTGTTTCATCACTAGGGATTTCCAGGATAGATTTAGCCTAGCTTAGCACAAAAATTGAAAATGGTGGTAAACTGCTAGCCTGACTCCATCAAAAGTGGTAAAATACACCTTCCCACATCCTCAAAGTAACTGGAAGAGTTTACTTTAACAGGCTCAGACCTTTCAGTGTGTCACAAATTTATTTTCAAGTCACAAGATTTTACAGTAAACAAACTAAAATCCACTAGGCACATCATGATCGTAGCAAAAGTAGGAATTAAACGGATTGGCTAATGGTTCCCCCTGCTAAGGTTCTTTGTCCTAAGCTAAATTAAACATCATCATCATCATCAATTTTATTTATATAGCACGTTTAATACAGCCAAAGCTGACCAAAGTGCTTAACACAATATCACTAAAACTCGTTAAAACACAATAAAACAAGCAGAAGCAATAAACACAACAATAAAACAGGATCACACTAAAACAACCACCCATCATAAAACAAAAAAGCTCAACAAGACAGAGGCTCATACTGGTTGGAACGCTAAACGGTACAGATGAGTCTTCAAATAAATTTTAAAAGTGGACAACGAGGGGGCCTGCCTAATGTAAAGGGGCAATGCATTCCACAACTTAGGAGCCCCCACAGAGAATGCTCTGTCCCCCTAAGTCTCTGCCTAGCCCTCGGTGTCTCCAAGAGCAGCTGATCAGCTGATCTGAGGCACCAAGAGGGGCTATAGGAATGCAGCAATTCTGTAAGATAAAGGGGGGCCAGACCATTTAAAGACTTAAAAACAAATAAAAGAATCTTAAAATGAATTCTAAAACACACCGGCAGCCAATGTAGAGAGGCCAAAATGGGTGTGATATGGTCCCTTTTGCGCCCTCCAACCAGTAGACGAGCAGCAGCACTTTGGACTCTCTGAAGGGACGCCTGACTGAGCCCAAAATATAGCGCATTACAATAATCCAGACGAGATGTAATGAATGCATGTATTACTGACTTGAAATGCTGCCGCGAAAGAAAAGGCTTGACCTTTGCCAGCTGCCGGAGATGATAAAAACTGGCCCGTACAACCGCATTCACCTGATGTTCCATTCTAAAATCAGAGTCTATTTTAACACCCAGGTTTGTAACGGTCGACTGCATGTACCGGTCGACTGCATGTACCGTTCTAAGCAACCCAAATCAACTGGGGGAAAATCACCTGAGTTATTTGGGCCAAACACTGTAACTTCGGTTTTCGTGTCATTTAACTTCAATAGGTTTAAAGCCATCCAGTTCCTAACGTCATCATAACATAACAGTAAAGAAACAACTGAGGATGTGTCCCTTCCCCTCATTGGCATGTACATCTGCACGTCGTCCACAGGAGCTTTAAAACCAGATTGAAAAATCTCCAATACATTATGCTTATCTAAAAAGGATTTCAACTGTATAAAAACCACTTTCTCTAAAATTTTCGAAATAAAAGACAGCTTGGAAATAGGCCTAAAATTATTCAAAATAGAATGATCAAGACCTGGCTTCTTAAGCAAAGGTTGCACAACTGCATGTTTACAATGTCCAGGGACAACACCTGAGGACATACTGCTATTAATAATAGCCAGAACCAGCGTTCCTATACAAGGAAAGACCTCCTTAAATAAGGACGGGGGAATAGCATCTCGAGGGGAGCCAGATGGCTTAACCTGGCTAACCACCTCCTCCAAAAATGGGAGAGTCACAGGCTCAAATGTATCAAACACAGCCAGGCAAACATGTCCTGGACCTGTAAATTTGAACCTTCTGCCTGAATCATACAGAGAACACGATGATAGGCTTGAACTTTACTGTCTTCCTCTACATCAATATGAAATTGAACAGAAACTTCACAACACCCAGAACATTGTCATGAGGGACTCCGCACGTTTCTGATAGTGAACAAGAGGATTCGTCTCAGTGATGGACTGTCCCTTGTATATCTTTTTGCTAATTAAAACACAGTGAGCTCAACTTTTGAAACAGACTCAGTGAAAGAAGTGGGCAATGTGTATCATCTGCACTAAAAATAATGAAACCAAGAGGCTGAACTCATTAGTTGTGTTCATGCACCTGATGGGGTGTGCAAGGACTGTGACCTCAGTGGTCTGACATGGGGCATGGCCTCAGAGTCGATGAAGAAGTCTACTACACCTTTCAAGGGGGAGGAGTCAGAGCCTGCAATATCTGATGGGAAAACGCATCAGTCCACCTGTCAGTCTGTCTTAAGGCTGTAGTGATTATACAGTGCACATTAAAAAGCCAATACAAGAGTCAGAGTTTTTAACACCTGCCTTTGTGACTTTTATTCTTAACCTTCCTTCATGTCTCTGTCTTCTCTTTGCTTTATTCATACCTGTGTCCCTGCCTTTTTCTTTTCTTACCTGGTAGTGATGATGAGGACAGAGTTCTGGAGAGGGGCTGGGCTGACTGAAAAAAAAAGAAAAATGATTGTGGACAACGGTCAGTAAGGAGGACTCCTCGGTTCAGATAAATAAACTGAAATTCTTTTGGACTACTCTGGACTAGGACAGTTAAAGATGTCACCTTAATTTCCTGTTTTCTGACAGAGACCAAAATATAAACAAATGATCAGTGATCACAACACACACCGTGGACTCGGTCAGTCGAGGTAACCTGTTGGCGTCTGTTGGCTGCTGATTCATCATTGACTCCACCCTCTTGATGATGTCATGCATGCGGAGGATAAATCCTTCTTGCTCTGAGGGCAGGATGAAGTCTCTGTGGAGCTGAACACAGCACAGAAATTAAAAAATATGATGCTCCATCATATTTAAAAACTAAAGTCAGTAGAACTGGTAACTGGATCCAAACAGAATATTTTAGAAATATGACAAAATAAAAAAAAAACCTCTGGTCTCAGCATGAAATACAGAAGATGTTAATGTTAATGACAAATATATTAAAACATTAAACAACCTGAAAGTAAAAGTGGAAAAGCTGAAAACAACATCCTGGTATTTTCTGACAAAATGTTTGTTTTATGGGAAAATTAACTGGAGGATTATGGACTGAAACACTGCTGCGCTCTCAGCATCAACGTGACCACGACTGTGACAAAACGTAAGTACAACTTTGCTGGTGTTAGTGATAAAACTGTCTCAAAGGTCAGTCTCACCTAATTAACATAGCCTTAGTGTTTTCTTACTAAAATGGCTCAAGGCCAATTTATGTTTTTGTATCCAATACACACACGGTGTAGGAAATGCATAACGTCATAGCCTACATTCGCCATTGTTCGTTAGCGGCAACGAAATGCAACAAAGTGTGATAGAAACCACACCACCGACTGGCGTTTTGGCAGTGTAATTGCAGAGCAATGCAGATACAGCAGTGCACAAGTGTAAATGCTCACAGTGCTGTAGGCCACCTGTGTAGCCTACGTAGGCTCCAACCAGAAGCATAAATCAGGTTTCATTCTCACAGAATTAATGTTAGAGAAGCACAATGCAAACTCTGTAAATGAAAGGTGAAATGTGCAGGTGGGTCAACATGTGGTTTGGTCACACACAGAGGCCTGCATTCACAAAATTAGAGAGCAGAGATTTGGTTAACAGGCACAAAGAGATCCACCTCCAACTTAGAATAAAACACCTGGACAAAATCTTGAATGAATTAGCTGCAGACGACACATTAGCCTTCAGTGAATCCTGAGGTCAGCTCTAAAGACAAAGATGGCGACACGCCAACTAAAAACCACCCGGCCATATCAGACTGGTGGAAAAATGCAGTGAACAGGGAAAACATTTTTTTTTTTAAATGGGTTCTTAAAAAAGAACTGTGTCCTTTTTGTTTTTCAATTTCATTCACATTTTGTTAAAAATATCAATAAATCTTCTTAAAGAAATAAAAGATGAACAGGCTAAAGCATCAAACCATATGTTGAGCAATCTAGTTTCCTTTAAAAAGAAACCAGAGGAAGAAACATCTGTACCCTGCGCTGATTGGTTGCTCACCATTACAGAGGCGATGTCCTCTGGATTGTCTCCGTCCAGGTCAAACTTAAACGTCACCATTTTACTGTTGTGAGTCTGCAGCTGACACTCCACCACCCGGTCCACCTGGTCCGACACCTGAACGCACCACACACACACACACACACACGGTGCTAATTTACAGTATATTGCTTTGTTCAAATGTAACTCTGACGGTGACAGAGACTCAAGTGTTCACCCCTGTGATTCTCAGACGAGCCCTTATTCTTCGCCTGAACTGCTTCGTAGCCGACCTTTTAGGTACTTCCTGGTTGCTCTTATCTGATTGGCCATCGTTGCCGTCACTCAAACCCGAGGTCACATCAGAGCTGCAGACAGACAGAAACAGTGAGCTACGAGACAAAACAATATGAAATGTTCAGATGTGAAGCAAAAAGCTTCTTAAACGGTTTCCTTTGTTTTAATTAATGTGTGTTTGGGTTAAGTTCACACTGATTAAGGTCACGCACACAAGATTATTGTGTGTGTTTGTGTGTTACCTGTCGACAGGTGAAGAGAAGCCACAGACTAGTCCAGGTGGTGGTTGCTCGGCACTCTGGGACACGGCGATGCTCTAGAGAAAGATTTAGAATGAACTGATTCAGTTTTCACTGAGTATTTGGGTGAAGGCGATTCAGAGGGAAAGCTGAAAAATGTCTGGCCTCTGCAACGTCCACACAACCAGCTGCACCTTCACGCATCAAATGTCACAGTAGGCATCAGAAACTGGCCCCTAAGCTTCACCCTGACCTTTATTTCTGGGGGATTATAGTAAAATTACAATATTAAACAGACAGCTTCCTTATTATAGTTTTAAAAAGCAAAATATTTCTTTACATTTTTGTAGTGGTCAACTTTGTAGTTAGAGCAAATTAACTTTATGGATTACAACGTTGAAATTAAAAAGGTGAATAAAGTTAAATGATACTGGACACGACGACAGCTGGATGTGGAGAACATAAGCATAAGTGTATGTGTAGTGTTCGTTCTGTGATGAATGACCCAAATTAGTGGTATAAGACAAAGCAAAGATGAAGAGCAGCACAAGCTGCAGCCTCCACAGTGGCCGCACAGGTGAACCAAGACCTCTGTGATACACCTTCATGATACAGCAGCACTGTTGGATTAGACTTGGGGTGACACAGGTGTTCCTAATAAACTGACCACCTGGTGTACCTGTGATACAAGCGATACTTGCAGTTTCATTTCTTATTTAATTAGGGATCAATATACACTATTTAAATTTGCTTGTCAGGTGTAGCTGTGGGCTGCACCTGAGTCTTGTTGGTCCAGCCTGCATCTGTTCACGTGCAGCAAACGTTTCTCTGCTACCAGCTGCAAAATGAGCAGTGAGCAGCTGCAGTGGCCCCGTAGATGTACAGGCAATTGTCACTGGATCCCTGTGAGACTGAAGGAAACTTCTCAGGCAGGTTCTGCGGCCTCTCCTCCTCTGGTTTCTAAGCAGATTTCTAGAGTTTAATTGTGGAGGGACATAATTTGGCTCTGCCCAGAGTGGAGTAGAAAGGAGAGTGGCGACATCCCCTTTAGCTCTGCCCAGAGTGGAGTAGAAAGGAGAGTGGCGACATCCCCATCGACTCTATAAGGACTGTTTTTTTTGTTTTGTTTTGTTTTTTTAATGTAATGGTGGATCACGGAAACGTTGAATAGTTCCAAACATTGGAGTCAGTGCCATAGAGTTACACTGACTTGGCTGCTGTCTTCTAAAGAAAAAAGTTGGAATCAAGAGCATTGTTACATTTTAAGTTTACAACCTTGCTGACTGCCTCTCTCCGATATTGGGCCACGCTAATAATTAGGTCCCTAGGTAACCAGCTACATTAGCATTACATTAGCAACACTGAATTAGTTTGCAGGGCTGTACAAGTCATTAAAACACTAACTGCTGATAAACACCACTGTTCCCTACAAAAACAACAGATCTTATTTCAGGGTTCAAGCTACATGAGTCACGTGACCTGCTGCTATTTTTGACCCCTCAGTGTCGCAACTCTTTTGTTATGATGGTTCTGGTCCTATTGCCTGTCCCCCTGCTCACCGTAGGGAAACGCAGCACCGGAAGAGGCGAGGCCTTGGACGAATGCGTCACAGGGGGAGGGGTCTCAAGGAAAGGGGTTTCTTGAGCCACTGGAGCAAGGGTTGAACCAGAAGTGAGGAGGGCAGGGTTTGTGATTGAAGGGGGCATGGCTTCGGCATCTTCTGGGACACCTGAGTCACAGTCTTCTGCAATGAGAAGAGAGATTTACAGTAAATGTGGAGGTGGAGAATAATATATTATAGAAATTAGATTAAAGCAACAATATGTAACTTCGCAGTTCTCTCCCCCTACAGTTGCTGTGTGTATCTGAGTTGTACCCAACTGTTGTAAATACAAGTTGGCTTTCATCCATCCTCCTCATAGTCATAGGACAAAGCTGTTACTGAACCGTGAAAGACAACGAAAGATTGTTAAAGTAATATTACAGGATTCATTATTTATTTATCAAAGATAACAAAAAAGTAATAAAGAATGGCAGGATTTTTTAGCTTTACTGAAATACTGCTTGTATTTTCAGATAGTTTGCAAACCATTTGCATGTGGATATGTGTAGTGGAATGCAATGGCGACACAATGTAGGCTTGTATCGCACATAATTGGGCAGTGTAATTGAGAAATGAGATGGGTTTGTTAGGCTGCAAACCTAAAGATTTATTTTGGCGTGACAGTGACAAAGATGGGCCAAACTCTCTGGCTTGAGATTATGTGATTTATTTGGGGGACGGCAGAAGACGCTGTTTGACATCTGGACAAATGACAAGTCTCTGAGTCAGGGATGACATTGACAAGGTTATAGCCTGCATTGAAGTAATTTATAACATTAGCAAAGATGAACACACTGTTGTTGTAATAGTGTTGTTTTCGCATTATCAGATCTCTACAGCTATTGTCAAGACAGTAGCCCTCGCCAATGAGTAAAGGTCAGTCTCATGTTTACTCTTGTCCAGTCTCTTGCTCTTTCCTCTTCTTCTTGGCTGTGTCTGGGCTTTGGTGCTGCTATAGATTTGGGAGTGCGATGGGTTGTGTGTTTGTTTTTTTTACATGCTTTGGCTGGACAGATCCTAGCCATATAAACGTGGGTCCATGGGAGAGATGTTTTCGGACTATACACCGTACTATGTAATGCTGTGTGTATTTTATTCCATGTCCTGTTGCACAGCTTGTTTGACTGTAGCAAGTTAGTATCTCCAAACTTTAGTCCAAACTCCTGAGGATGAGAGGACACAGTGCTCGCAATGTGGAACAGCGGCGTCCTCGCCAACAGACTGTGCTCTGGATGAGATGCAGCTGCCTGCTAATAGAGCTAGCTTGGTCCAACAAGGAGGACTCACAACTCCGAAAGCATCGCAGCAAATTGGCATTACTTGGATAGATTGACCACATGGCGGTCACATGAGGTGTCAGAGACGCACACCCAAAGTTACATAGTGCAGTAACAGGTGATCCAGGCACACAGTGGAGATGGGAAATAGGAGAGCTGCCATTCATGTTATTACATGTCTGTCTGCCATCAAAATGATTTTGACCCTGTTATTTTAATGTACAAAAGTTACACATTGTTGCTTTAACTTCTTATGCGTTAATCTAAGGTCCTGACGGGTGGCGGATGAATAGGAGGTGTGTTTGGGGGGCTTGTCCTCCTCCTTTTTCTTTCTGTCTCCTTCTGTCCTGTGGATCCCAGGATCTACTGGGCTCCTGCTTGATGATGTCACTGTTGCGGTGGGCGGAGCTTGAAACCTCATGGAGTCAGGAGCCGAAACAACACCTGAGTCCTGATGGAAGTTTACAAAGAGAGGTTAAACTTTAAGTTTTTAAACTGCAGCTTTCTACAGTTTAATTGAATTAACTATATTTAAACATGAAATATCCTTAAATGTTTTCAATAATCAGATAACTGTTTCCGTGGAACAGCTTCAAACATGCCTTGTTGGCCACTTGTCCAGCTGCAGACATTCCCATGTCGGATGACGGCTTCTGATTGGGTGGCTCAGGTGGCTGGGGTGTGGGCTCAGGTGCCTCCTCGATGACACCATCCCTCTGGTGGTTCTGGGCTTCCCCTAGGAGGCGGCGCTGTTTCTCTCGCTGATGCTTTATGGCCGTCACTTGCTGTCTGATTGCCTTGGCAACCAGCTTGTAATCTGCCTCGCACAGGAAACCCAGCACCACCTGCGGGACAAAGATAAAGAGAGACAGGTGAGATATTGCACCTGTCAGCCTATCAGGTGATGTCATCAGTGAGGTCATCAGGTACCATCTCCTGGGCCACCTCCTCGGGGACATCTTTGTACAGCTCGAACAGAAACTCGATGGCATTGTTGTCTTTGTATTTGCCATGAAGCTTGTTGTTTTCGTCCATCCGGAGCCAGAGCGTCAGGGCCGACTTAGAGCCGTCATCATCCTCGGCCAGCTCCACGTGGACACCCAACCGCTCCTGGAAGAACCGAAGGTCCAGCAGGTCCTGGACTGTGAACCTGTGGGAAGAAACAGGTCAATACCTGCACATAACATCAAACCAAGAGTCATTATCATATCACAGCATTTCCATCTGTCCACTAGTGCCGCTGCAGTCAGGATAGAAACATGGGCGTCCACCAGCTATGGGGGATTTTATATCACCACAGAAACAAAGCCTGTGAAATATCCACATTTATTCAGTTAACTCTTCTACCTGTTACGCTGTGTGTAGCCTTCTTTTGCAGTGCTTTCTACATCCTGAAAGATTAAATCAGTTATATAATCAAAAATAGGAGAGACATACGGCCGGAGGTCAGATGAAACAACCACAAAGTCGATCATCGACCTCCGGCCTAGGGTGTCCTGGTGCCATGTGCACTGATGGACACCCTTATGCTTGAACATGGTGTTCGTTATGGACAAACTGTGACTAGCACAGAAGTCCAATAACAAAACACCACTCGGGTTCAGATCGGGGGGGCCGTTCCTCCCAATCACGCCCCTCCAGGTGTC